TTATTTTAATTATTTTATTTATTTTAATTATTTTATTTATTTTAATTATTTTATTTATTTTAATTATTTTATTTATTTTAATTATTTTTATTATTTTTATTATTTTTATTTATTTATTTATTTATTTTTATTATTTATTTATTTATTTATTTATTTCACACTCATTGCATTAAAAAAAAACCAGATGCCAGTAAATGAAGCTTCATAAGAATCTGAGCTACGTAGGAGCCCTTACCTAAGTGTGAAAACGTAGCGAGGGAGGGGGGCTTCTGTGGGGAGGGGGACAGGAGCCCCTGTCTCTCCTCGAAGGGCGGGGCCTGGGGGAGCCATCCTTGGGGGCTCCGAGGGGCTGGGGGTAGATGGGGAATTCAGCCCTCCAGCCGAGACAAGAGTCCCGGGGCGGGGGGGAGAGGCTTTGGGTGGGGAGGGGGGGAGGACTCACCGGCCGTATGTCGATGTCACACATCCCGATGCTCGTGGTGACCACGTGGCCAACGCCCAGCATGGTGTTTCCAGAGAGACCCTGGGAAATAGAGGGGGCCGTGGGGTGTTATGACCGCCAGAGTTCAGGGGGACAAAGCAAAATAACACCAAACCTTCCCAGATTGCAATGTTGTGCGTATAACAGGGACATAAACTGGAGTTTGGGGGAGGATGAGGAGGGAAAGGGAGAAAGGGTAAAAGCAGAGGAAGCAAGGGAGAAGTAAGAGAAGGAAAGAGGAGAAGGAGGAGGAGAAGAGAGGAGGAATGGGGAAAGGGGAGGGGAAGAAGAAAAGAGGAAGGAGAGGAGGAAAGGAGAAGGGAGGTTGGGAAGACGGAAGTAGGTTGTTGCAAAATAAGATGGAGATATGGGGTGGCAGGACAGTTACCCCCCAACCGTTTTCCTATATTCATAAGGAGATTGGGATAAACGTTAATAGCTAATAGAGTATTTACAAGAAGGTATATTTGGGAACGTATATGAAAGGAAAAAACAACATTTTATATTTAAAAAAAAAAGTCTTGTGGACTTCAACTCCCAGAATTCGCCGGGACGGATGCATTCCTTTGGATAGGCCTATTTACTCTCTTGTAATCCCTTCCTCTGCGATCTCCCAGTTGTAGGAGATAGGAGGAAAACAACAGGAATTCCTGGCTGAGGAATTCTGGGAGTTCAAGTCCACGAGGCATCACATTGCCAAGTTCGGAGACCCCTGGCCTAGAGCAATTTTTGGGGGTGGGTGGGTGGGTTGAGGGGTGTTTGGATCTTCTCCCACTGGCCCCCAGGTCTTAAAATGGCCGAGGTTGGAGACCCTTACTCTAGAACAGTGTTTCTCAACCTTGGCAACTTGAAGATGTCCGGGCTTCAGCAAGTTGCCAAGGTTGAGAA